ACATTCTAACTAAGTGAATATTTTCCAGGGAGATTGAAAAATTCAGTAAGTCTTCAAAGTAAGAAAGCTCCACAACAGGATCCCAAAGCATGCATAGCATGAAGTAGATACTGTTGCAAAGCAAGTCAAAAGTGTATTTGCAAAAACAGTTCTGTCTAGACTACTTTGGATTGATTAGTAGACATCTACCTATCAAGGTGTTTTCAGAATACATGTAAAATACCATATTGATTTGCTGAGTTATTTGTGATATTAGCTCCTGATATTTCAGGGGTACAATTGAGAAATTTAAATACTGTATTAATTTCTTGGTTGTTAGCTATATGTAAAATACTGACTCTTATTCCCCTGTTGGGACTGTAAATGCTGGCAGAGTCCAATAAAATATTTCTGATTGGAATTTTTTTTAAAAAAAGTTGGATACTGTGACATTAACACTCCTATGCAATGAAGCAGAACCAGATGCTCATTTTTTTCAGTCAACACACCAGCAACCATACTGTGATTATCACAACTTTCTCAATGTTGAAAAAAAGATATCAGCCTGCTTGGGGTGGAATGCTCAAGCCAAAAGACCTAACTTACTGAAGACAAGATTTTTCTATCTGTTGAGTCCATGGCCTCAGAGTAAGAACAGAATTATCTGTTCTACAAGAGTTGCTTGGGAATTTTAATTGCTGTTATTGATATTTAAGAGCTGACCAGCAGCTGTACATTAGTAAGGCTGATGCAATGAAGATGAATCAGCATTGATATTGCCTTTTTAAGACTATGTATGGGTCCAAAGAAGTTTTACCTCTTTAAGAGGTGTTTATATAAGGCAGTTATTAGAGGGTGTATATCTCTCTCCTTGTATCCATTGTAGTTTTCTGTACAGAGTTAAGAAGATTGCTTGCTTGTCAGGTAGTTGCCTACCATGTATATTTCTGTATATGTCTTGTATATAAACCACTATTAAATGTCTAAACCTGTGCGTGCTGTGTTTTGATCCCGGATTGTCTCATAACAGTAGGCATGTTGCAATTGCCCTGTTTGTGAAATTGGTTGGCTAATCTTTTTGCAGATTGGTTCAAGGACAGCAATCACAATGGATTGCTACTCCAATACCTATTATGAAGCTATATTTGTATTACAAGTGGCAATAGATTAAAGGGTTTTAAGTGTGATTACAGTAAAAATTACATGTATTTCAATTCTAACCACTGTTACCTTACTTATTTGCATTAACTTACCTTGGATTTTTTTTGGTTTTTCTCTTTCAGGATATTGAAAGTGTCAATTCTTTGCAGTGGGGAGAATGTCTAGTAGAACATCCATCTATTCATTTTTTTTTCTGGTTTAATTTTTAAAGCAAAGTTCAAATTTTACTAAGCAATTTATAACCTTAATGCTGTAATAGCATTATCATGTTTTAAACCCAAAAACATTCCATGTTTTCTAAAGAGAAGACTATTTGTACTTAACACACTATACTATAGTTATGTAAATGATTACATTGCACAGAAGGTTCTAATAGCTAACTGGGTAAATTTGACTTTCCTTGACAGTAATTCAATTGTAGTTCAGTTAAATGCAATCTTACATCCACTTATATGGAACAAGACACATTCAAATAAATAGGACTGTTTCCAAGGAAAAATGTGAAGAATTGCACTGCCAGGCTTTTATAAATCCACACTATGTTGTTAACTTTCATTAGACTTTTCAGGAGCTGGGAGTAATTAAACACTTCTTCAATCTTTAACTCATATGGAATTTACTAGCCATATAGAATGGCCTGCAGGCAAGCAGCTAAACCAGATTTAAAATATATATATCTGAAGAGCTACTCTACATGGCTGATAAACTACATTTGGCTAGGTGGAGTTTAAACTGCTTATATAGTCTCTTTGATTGCAGGCACACACAGTGGTGTATTTCTTGAATATCAAGGTGTTAAAACAATAGGGTTGTGTTTTGGAGGACTGATACAAAAAAGTCTCCCATGAGCTGAGATTCTACCCCTGTGGACTACAGCTCATGTAGTAGTACAGCTAGTGTACCCTCTACAAGGATTTGCCTTGTAACTCCTTATCTGGTAAAATACCCAGGAAATTCTAATCTTTCTTACCTGCAGTTGTTATCAGAGCAGTATGATTCAGTCTCCTGAATATATACTGTATTATACTGTAATACAAAATTACTGTAAAATTAGGCAGACTTTGATTATCCATTGTCAAATCCACTAATTGTAGTATTTTATTTTGTTTTATTTTTATTTTATTTTTAATATATTTTGTTTGCAATTCTGGTCAGTAACTACAATAAAAATATTTGTTCATGTGTGAATGTGGGATTTGTCTGGGATTCCTATCTGGTTAATGACAAAGTGAGAAGCCTCTGAGGTGGAGAAACCAAATAGTATATATCAGGAGTCGCCAACCTTTTGGACCTCAGGGACCACCAAATCCATAATTTTAGATCCCGGGGACCACTAACTGGTTCTGTGGGTGTGGCCTAATTTGTGGGTGTGGCTTGGTGGTCATGTGACTGGCTGGGCATGGCTTGTATGTAAATATTATAAATATTGATATAAATATTGATATATATTTTTTATAAAAAAAGAGCAACTTTTACCCAAAATCAGGCAAAGCAGGCAGGCAGATTAAGTTGCTCACAGAATCACAGATCCATTCAGAAATCTATCTATCTGCCATTGGCTAGCTCAGTCTGTCACATAAAATTTGCTTGCAAGCAAACTCACAAAATTAACTCACAACACACCATGCATGTAAATATTGAATTTTTTTATTTTAAAAAAGCAACTTTTACTCAAAATCAGGCAAAGCAGGCAGATTGAGTTGCTCACAGAATCATTCAGTGATCTATCTATCTGCCATCGGTTAGCTCAGTCTCTCAAATTTGCTTGCCATGAGTCTGCACTGAATTTACTTGCAAGCAAACCTTCAGAGCCGAAGATCTAAAGACTTGCTAGAAAGCAAGAAATCCAACCATTCCCTGCTTCCTAGCTAATAGAACAGATGATGGTCGGAAAAAGGAAAAATAGCAATTTAGCAGGCAAGTTTGCCGGGTAAGGAGTGGGCAGGGAGCGTTCCCGCGGGCCATGTGGGCGGCACAGCCTTGTGTTTCTGCGCAGCCTGGATTAATTGCTTTGGGGAGGTGCTCTGGGTGTGAGATTTCTCTGTGGCCCACCAAAATATTCTCATGGCACACCAGTGGCCCACTATTTGGCGACCGCTGGTATATATGATACCCTGAGAAAATAAACATTTATTTTGTGAAGTTTCTATGGATAGTGTCTTACCTATTACTAATGATGTGGAAGAAAATCAAGATGATCCTGTTGTGATTTTCTATCTGTTTCAAAATAAGTTAATTACAGATTCTGATTTAGCAACATTTCCAGAAGAGTTTATTATGAAAATTCCTTCTTCTTACCACTTTCTCATGTGGTCCTTAAAAGTAAATGGTTTCCCTGAGTCCAAAAGGAATGAAAACACTTATAACAATGATACATTAACAGGTAACTTTTCTGAAAATCATTAAAATGGTTTGTTTGAAAATTGAAATGGGATGTAGTGTACTGTAATCAATTAAAAATGAAAGTACCTATAAAAAAGTAAGGGAAATAGGATTATATAGAACTAGATGATTTTAAAATTATGCAGCTGCAATACAGTTGGGTATGCATCACCAGCTTTCACAAAGTAGCTTATATGGTTTACTTCTTTCTCCAGTTCAGCAAATATATTATTCACATATAGCCACTGCAAGCTTCCATTCAGATGTGTCTCACTGCTCACCTAGTTTCCACTGAATGTAACAGATACATCTGACAAACAAAGGGACACATATGTTTCAGCAGCAATTTGAAATCTGAGGTTGCTTCTCACATGAGAGCTGGCCCATTTGCTATGAAAAAGAAGCAAGAACACTGCTTGCTCATCAACATACATTACTTCAACTTTCACCAGATTCACCTAGCACAAAACTTTGTCAGTGTATAACTATATCAAACTTGCAATAATTGAATATGATCTATAGCATTGTAAGGTGCACACAGGGCATTTTAAACCTAAATATTCATTCATGGTTCATTGAAGAACTATTTGCACATACAGATTCCCAGGAAAAAAAACATTTCAGCCAACTTTCCATGTACCGTAATCTACAATTTTATTTGTAGGAAAGACTGCATATCTGATTCCTGCATGTGTAAAAACCGTTTTGAAAAGGTGGAAAAGTGCCAAAACCTCAGGAGTATCTAAAAATTAAGCAACAAGCAGATCTATACAATCTTTTAATTATTTGCTCATTCTTCTATTAATCTGGAAAGAAATGCAGAGAACCAGGCTATAATCAGAATGTTTGGCTACGTTGCCAGAG